AAATGAAAAAAATGCCTCACAAGTTTCCACAAGACTAATATATAACTGGCAAGACAGATGTGATGGCTGTTCCTAAAACCTGGACTACCACAAATCTTGATTTTGAATTTAAGTAGGAGATAGTAAAGGATAACTTGAGGACAACACATCTGAAGGCCATCCTCTTCATGATGTTTATACATCTTTTACTCATTTTCTACACAGGGAAATTAGAGCAGCAGTTTTCACTCCTCCCCTCTCCAGAAATAGTTGTAGATGTTTTAGAGTAATGACACATCTTGACTAGGCTTTTTTTTTTTTTTAAACCTAAAGAACACCCCATTCAATAAAGCATGTGTTTCACCCTGGAGCAGCAGAAGCTCTTCAGCACCCATCAAGAATGCAGGGAACCATTCTGCCACTATGTAAGATTTGCTACATTTTAGCCAGTCTCCATGATGAAAAAGTAATACTCTTATGCCTCCAGGAAGAAGTAGTTGATTCTTTAGTTTCAGGAAACTTTGGCTTCTAACAAAAATATATTTTAAGACAGAATTAACTATTTTTGATTTTTTATCAAAGAAAAACCCCTACAACCTGGTGCCCTGTTTTACAATTAGTGCCTGTAGTAACTAGATGCTGCTCTAGGAAAAAAAAAATCCCCAACTCTTAGTCTCCTTTATCTTGAAAGGATATTTAAAGGAGACTATCTTCACTATAGCATCTTACCTTGCGATAACCTTCCAGCACTTCTTTCTGCTTTTCGAATCGTTTGAACAGTTCAGAAAAAGATTTCTCCATAGAGTTCAGATCTGAAATAACTTGTTGCTTCTCTTCCGCCACTCTCTGCATTTCTTTCTTTGAAAGTTCCTTCTGCTTGTAAGCATCCTCTAAAGAAAGAGAGGGGAAATAGGGTTATAGTCTTACGTTAGTTGCTGCATTAGTATAGAACAAGAAAAAAATCCATAATATGGACACTTAGCAATAAATTGATGGTTTGGAAGTAAGTAAAAAAGCTTTCATGGTTTAGCCTCTTTTCCTCAAAGAACATTGTACCTTTGGTTTTAGGGAAGAAATTATATTCTACTGTATATATTGTGCTGTTTCTCTACTCCATTTACCTACTAACTCCAGAGGTCATTAAGGCCTGGGCTCATAAGGAGCTTGTCCAAATACACGGCTCTACTCTAAAAGGTTTCTCTTCCAGTTCTACCGCAATGTAGTCAAAATACTGCACTTGAGTCTACCATAACAGAAGCCTCAGATGTTGTGATAGAAACAAGGCACCTAAGACAACATTTACATGTTTTTCATTTCAAGGATACACAGTAGCTGGAAGAGACTGGGATAACAAGCTAAACCAGCACAGCAAACCCTTTCAGATCAAGTTTTTGCTTGTACACCTGAACTTTGTTCTGCATTAGCTAACTTTTTAAAGAAACAGAAAAAAAGCTGACATACTAATCAGGCCTCCTTAAAGAGCCATATTTAAAGAACATAGATGCAGCAAATTCAGCTTGCAGCTAGGAAAAATGAAGTTATGTGACTTCCCAATGTCTCCGTAATGCTTAAGTCACACATCTAACTGAAGCAAAGGGCAGATCTATCGACATAAAAGGTTAGTACGTTCTTTCCTAACTTAGGAAGTCATTATTACCCACCAAGGTATAATCAATAAGCATAATCATGTCTATTTGAATATAAATAAAAGTTAACCTATAACTGTCTTGTCAGCAGCCATATGCACAGCCCATAACTTTAAATGGCATTAGCACTTTAAGTGCTTAAAGAGTACTGAGTTCAGTTAGCACTGTTATGCTTCATATGTCCCACTCAAAACTGTTAGGTAAAATACGAAACTTACCCATCATCTGTGTTATTGTACCCTCAAACTCAGCAACTATTTTCCTGAAAAACAACAAAATATGTTGAATATAAGTTAGAAAACAGAGTTAAAAGAAATAGACATACAAATCAAGGCACATGCCTACCCCATTTCCTTGTATTCCATGTGAAGCTTGTCATACTTCTTTCGCCACTCTAGAGTCTCCAACTCCTTCTCTTGAACCTTAGGGAAGGAGGGAAAGCAAAGCACTCTTTCAGAAGTAGTGATATATGTTCAATATCAAAACAGCCTGGAAGGTAGCTTACATATACTTACAATTTACTATGGAGAATTTTTTTTTAAAAAACATACTGTTCAATTTATAATAAGTACAGTCACTAGTTCTCTTGACACAAACTAATTTTTTGGTCAAGTTGCAATCTGAAGCCATTTTTAGGCAACATTCAACCCTCGCCCTATCATATTTCCAAACTTAACAACACTTTATCTTTAAACAGATCCATACCTATATCACAATTGAATTCATAGAATCATAGAATGCTTAAGGTTGGAAGGGACCTCTAGAGGTCATCTAGTCCAACCCCCCTGCACACGCAGGGTCACCTAGAGCACGTGGCACAGGACTGCGTCCAAGCGGGTTTTGAAGATCTCCAGAGAAGGAGACTCCACAACCTCTCTGGGCAGCCTGGAGGGCAGCTCTGTACCCTCACTGTTTTGTTTTGAACATTTTTCTTATGGAAGCCCATCTATATTAGCTACCTGATACCAGGCTGTTCTCTTTGAAGTCCTCAGAGCTTTAAGTACTGTTAGATGTGCCTTAATACATAAGGATGCAGATGCCCAGGCGACATGCTGCGTTGTAGTAGGGATGCTGGAGTCTGTAACTGGTGGCTGGGGTTGTTAAAGGGGGCAGGAATGGATC